GAGAAACATCAGTAGTTTAAGCGAGCCACTTTCGCCCTCTGTTCCTTTGGGGAGACGTGCGTTTCTCCTCCTGGGGTCAGGTCACCACAGTTGCGCGATCATTGAAGCTTAAGGTTAAGTTTGGGTTTAGACTTAGGTTAAGGCTTATGCTTACACATTGGCTTATGCCTAAGCCTATGATTGGGCCTAGTCCTAAGCTTGCTCCGAGCGAATGAACGGCGTCTCAATTTTAGGTGACCTGACCCCAGGAGGAGAAACGCTACGCACCCCCTTTGCGTAGGCTCACTTGCGAATGTGTGCGTTGTGCTGTCATCCGTTCGATACTAGTTTACTGCCATGCTGTCACCTGCTTTCCCGTTTCTCGTCGAGCGGCTCAAGTATGGGTCGATGGTTTACTGTGTAGAAGTTAGGATGGACGGAGTGATTTCCTTGTAATTTTGAGGCGTTAGGCAGATTCTGATTGTCTTTAAATACATTTACCTTTGCTTCTCTTATCCCAGCTTGTCTTAACCTGTTTTGTTTTTTGTCTTCATTTCACAAAAGTCTTATCAACAGGCGGAGCATTTGCGCGCTAGGTTTACGAACCGATAAAAGTCGATCGCGCCTTTTTTGGCAATATTCTGGCTTCCCGCTATGGGCTCCTCTGTGCAATTGTGCCACTGTTATCGCTTGTTATTTGGGCACTGCCTTGACCTCAATTATGGCTTTTCTACTTTTTAGGTTTTTCTATACGTCGGAGGAAGGTTTACTAACTAGGAAACATGTTTCGTCTATTTCCATCGTTCCTTAGCTGTGAACAAAAGGTGCGAGTCTTTTGACCAGTGGTTTTTCTCTCTCTCCCTCTCTATATCACATTGAATTTTGAGATCTTATCTGTGTCTGCTCGCACTTTAATGCTACAAGAACATCATGGAATGGCATTACTTCAGAAGGAGAATATCAACGTGAGTGTCATTGCCAGCCTTCATTGTTGCTTGCGTTCATTTGCTAGTGATGCTATAGCGTCCCCATTTGCTTTGAAAACTAATTGTGGGCGCTCATCCAGCAAGGGAATGTTGTGGTACAGAGCGCTTACTGCACTCAAAACATCGGCAACAATCTGTTTCAATGAAACTCAGTTTTAGGACTAAGCCTTGAGAGTAGGTCGCTGGGATAGAGCGTGACTTTTTGCAACGCGAACCGCAGGTCCATGCTGACCAGGGGCGGTATTCAATCCTTCCCCCAGGGGGATATATCCCCCTCCTCTGATTCAATCCTCTGGGGGGACAAAAAAGGGTTGCGTCATAGGACCTAGCATACCTCTGTGTTTCTACCTGCCAGAC